ACTCAGGGACACACAGAATTGTTACTGAGGGACACAGAATTGTTACTGAGGGACACAGAATTGTTACTCAGGGACACAGAATTGTTACTCAGGGACAGACACAGAATTGTTACTGAGGGACACAGAATTGTTACTGAGGGACACAGAATTGTTACTCAGGGACAGACACAGAATTGTTACTCAGGGACACAGAATTGTTACTCAGAGGACACAGAAATTGTTACTGAGGGACACAGAATTGTTACTCAGGGACACAGAATTGTTACTCAGGGACAGACACAGAATTGTTACTGAGGGACACAGAATTGTTACTCAGGGACACAGAATTGTTACTCAGGGACACAGAATTGTTACTCAGGGACACAGAATTGTTACTCAGGGACACAGAATTGTTACTCAGGGACACAGAATTGTTACTGAGGGACACAGAATTGTTACTGACAGGGACACAGAATTGTTACTCAGGGACACAGAATTGTTACTCAGGGACACAGAATTGTTACTCAGGGACACAGAATTGTTACTGAGGGACACAGAGAATTGTTGTTACTCAGGGACAGACACAGAATTGTTACTCAGAGGACACAGAATTGTTACTCAGGGACACAGAATTGTTACTGAGGGACACAGAATTGTTACTCAGGAGCAGACACAGAATTGTTACTCAGGGACACAGAATTGTTACTGAGGGACACAGAATTGTTACTCAGGGACACAGAATTGTTACTCAGGGACAGACACAGAATTGTTACTCAGGGACAGACACAGAATTGTTACTGAGGGACACACACAGAATTGTTACTCAGGGACACACAGAATTGTTACTCAGGGACACAGAATTGTTACTCAGGGACACAGAATTGTTACTCAGGGACACAGAATTGTTACTGAGGGACACACAGAATTGTTACTGAGGGACACAGAATTGTTACTCAGGGACAGACACAGAATTGTTACTCAGGGACACAGAATTGTTACTCAGGGACACACAAATTGTTACTGAGGGACACAGAATTGTTACTCAGGGACACAGAATTGTTACTCAGGGACAGACACAGAATTGTTACTGAGGGACACAGAATTGTTACTGAGGGACACAGAATTGTTACTCAGGGACACACAGAATTGTTACTCAGGGACAGACACAGAATTGTTGAGGGACACAGAATTGTTACTCAGGGACACAGAATTGTTACTCAGGGACACAGAATTGTTACTGAGGGACACAGAATTTACTCAGGGACACAGAATTGTTACTCAGGGACAGACACAGAATTGTTACTCAGGGACACAGAATTGTTACTGAGGGACACAGAATTGTTACTGAGGGACACAGAATTGTTACTCAGGGACAGACACAGAATGTTACTCAGGGACACAGAATTGTTACTCAGGGACAGACACAGAATTGTTACAGAGGGACACAGAATTGTTACTGAGGGACACAGAATTGTTACTGAGGGACACAGAATTGTTACTCAGGGACACAGAATTGTTACTCAGGGACACAGAATTGTTACTGAGGGACACAGAATTGTTACTCAGGGACACAGAATTGTTACTCAGGGACACAGAATTGTTACTGAGGGACACAGAAATTGTTACTGAGGGACACAGAATTGTTACTGAGGGACACAGAATTGTTACTCACTCAGACACAGAATTGTTACTCAGGGACAGACACAGAATTGTTACTGAGGGACACAGAATTGTTACTCAGGGACACAGAATTGTTACTGAGGGACACAGAATTGTTACTCAGGGACAGCACAGAATTGTTACTCAGGGACACAGAATTGTTACTCAGGGACACAGAATTTGTTACTGAGGGGCAGAATTGTTACTCAGGGACACAGAATTGTTACTCAGGGACACAGAATTTTACTCAGGGACAGACACAGAATTGTTACTGAGGGACACAGAATTGTTACTGAGGGACACAGAATTGTTACTCAGGGACACAGAATTGTTACTCAGGGACAGACATGTTTGTTACTGGGGACACAGAATTGTTACTGAGGGACACAGAATTGTTACTCAGGGACACACACAGAATTGTTACTCAGGGACAGACACAGAATTGTTACTGAGGGACACAGAATTGTTTACTCAAAACACAGAATTGTTTACTGCTGAGGCAGGGACCAGAATTGTTACTCAGGGACACAGAATTGTGCATTCTCAGGGACAGACACAGAATTGTTACTGAGGGACAATCAGAATTGTTACTGCAGGGCAGAACGGAATTCCACAGCATCGCCTGAATTGTTTACGAGGCAACAAGGTGGAATTCAACCCTACACATTGTTAGACCGCCTTTACGAACAGCGAAAGGCCATCACCGATTTTCCTGATGTTACAAGCGTTATAAAGGGGACGCCACCCCTGTGTAACTTTGATGTCAGCCATTGGCAGCTCATGCGTGACACCTGCTGCCGCTTGCTCAGGCCCTTTGAGGAGGCCACGCTATTCGTGAGTTGGGCAGGACTATGGGATGAACGACGTCATTCCTCTGTTGCACGTCCTGGAACAAATGCTGTTAACAATGGCTGGTCAGGGTGTTCTGGGTAGACGTGGCGCACAGATCTCAACGCCACATGACCCCTGTGGGGGCAGGACAGAAAAGAGGAGGAGGTAGAGAGGACATTTGTGCTCAGGAATTATTGAGTGAAATGGGTGGTTTTTTTTTCCACTCAGCGGACAGGCAGAGTGGAGGAGCAGGAGCAGGGCTGGTAGAGGAGGAGGAGAGAGGAGACAGAGGACCCAGACACACCGTGGCAGTATGCTGTGGAGATGGAGGCAGGGAGTCCCTCGCATTCCTTGGCACAAATGGCCCATAGCATGCTCGTTGCTTGCGTAGCGACAGCCGAATAATAACCATCAGACAGAGGGATGACTTTTGGCTGTCCACCTTGTTGGACCCTCGCTACCCCGTTCAAAAATGGTGGCCTTTTTCACACCTGCTGAGAGGGGGGCCAAAATAACGTACTATAAAAACCACCTATGTAGTCAGTTGGTCTCTGCCTTTCTGCGCCAACGTCCATCCTCAGACACTGTGGGCCCTGTGCGCGCGTTCCGCTGCCGGCAGCAGGGGAGGGGTGGGGTGGTGGTAGGAGCAGCAGTGGCAGCTCCACCAGCAGCGGCTGCCTCAGTCTGCAGTCGATGATGAGTAGCTTTCTTCACCAGCGCAGTGAGGAAACTACTAACCAGCCGCAGCAGCAGCAGCAGCAGCATCAGGTGGACCTGGAGCAGGACCTCAAACAACAGGCTTGGGCCTACTTGGACAGCACCCTGCCAACCGAGGTAGACAATCCCCTTGACTACTGGGCAACGAAACTTGACCTTTGGCCCCAACTAGCTGAATTTGCCCTTGAAAGGCTGTCATGCCCGGCCAGTAGCGTGGCATCGTCAGCGCGTGTTTAGTGCGGCAGGAGGTATTGTAACTCAGGCCGCGGAGGACACGACTGTCCACCCAAAGTGTGGAGAGACTCACGTTTGTGAAAATGAATCAGGCGTGGATTAGTCTGGATTTCAAACCACCAGTTCCTGACACAACTGACTAAATCCGCCATGAATCATGCCCCAAACATGTGCACACTTTCAGGTCTCCTCACACTGCTGGTGTGTTCCATTTTGTCATAGGGTGCTGCTGGCAGATTACGGGCCTCCCATTGCTGCTGCCAGGCCCGTAATCTGCCATGGGCCCCCGTACCGCCTCCTCATGCTGCTGCCAGGTCCAGAGTGTGTCATGGGTCCCTGTACGGCCTCCCATTGCTGCTGTCTCCATCGCCACACTCTGCCATGTGCCACTTTCAGGTCTCCTCACACTGCTGGTGTGTTCCATTTTTTGTCATAGGGTGCTGGCAGATTACGGGCCTCCCATTGCTGCTGCCAGGCCCGTAATCTGCCATGGGCCCCTGTACCGCCTCCTCATGCTGCTGCCAGGTCCAGAGTCTCTCATGGGTCCCTGTACGGCCTCCCATTGCTGCTGTCTCCATCGCCACACTCTGCCATGTGCCACTTTCAGGTCTCCTCACACTGCTGGTGTGTTCCATTTTTTGTCATAGGGTGCTGGCAGATTACGGGCCTCCCATTGCTGCTGCCAGGCCCGTAATCTGCCATGGCCCCTGTACCGCCTCCTCATGCTGCTGCCAGGTCCAGAGTCTCTCATGGGTCCCTGTACGGCCTCCCATTGCTGCTGTCTCCATCGCCACACTCTGCCATGTGCCACTTTCAGGTCTCCTCACACTGCTGGTGTGTTCCATTTTTTGTCATAGGGTGCTGGCAGATTACGGGCCTCCCATTGCTGCTGCCAGGCCCGTAATCTGCCATGGGCCCCTGTACCGCCTCCTCATGCTGCTGCCAGGTCCAGAGTCTCTCATGGGTCCCTGTACGGCCTCCCATTGCTGCTGTCTCTCCATCGCCACACTCTGCCATGTGCCACTTTCAGGTCTCCTCACACTGCTGGTGGTGTTCCATTTTTTGTCATAGGGTGCTGGCAGATTACGGGCCTCCCATTGCTGCTGCCAGGCCCGTAATCTGCCATGGGCCCCAGTACCGCCTCCTCATGCTGCTGCCAGGTCCAGAGTCTCTCATGGGTCCCTGTACGGCCTCCCATTGCTGCTGTCTCCATCGCCACACTCTGCCATGTGCCACTTTCAGGTCTCCTCACACTGCTGGTGTGTTCCATTTTTTGTCATAGGGTGCTGGCAGATTACGGGCCTCCCATTGCTGCTGCCAGGCCCGTAATCTGCCATGGGGCCCCCATGTACCGCCCGCCTCCTCATGCTGCTGCCAGGTCCAGAGTCTCTCATGGGTCCCTGTACGGCCTCCCATTGCTGCTGTCTCCATCGCCACACTCTGCCATGTGCCACTTTCAGGTCTCCTCACACTGCTGGTGTGTTCCATTTTTTGTCATAGGGTGCTGGCAGATTACGGGCCTCCCATTGCTGCTGCCAGGCCCGTAATCTAATCTGCCATGGGCCCCCTGTACCGCCTCCTCATGCTGCTGCCAGGTCCAGAGTCTCTCATGGGTCCCTGTACGGCCTCCCATTGCTGCTGTCTCCATCGCCACACTCTGCCATGTGCCACTTTCAGGTCTCCTCACACTGCTGGTGGGTTCCATTTTTTGTCATAGGGTGCTGGCAGATTACGGGCCTCCCATTGCTGCTGCCAGGCCCGTAATCTGCCATGGGCCCCTGTACCGCCTCCTCATGCTGCTGCCAGGTCCAGGTCCAGAGTCTCTCATGGGTCCCTGTACGGCCTCCCATTGCTGCTGTCTCCATCGCCACACTCTGCCATGTGCCACTTTCAGGTCTCCTCACACTGCTGGTGTGTTCCATTTTTTCATAGGGTGCTGGCAGATTACGGGCCTCCCATTGCTGCTGCCAGGCCCGTAATCTGCCATGGGCCCCTGTAATCCGCCTCCTCATGCTGCTGCCAGGTCCAGAGTCTCTCATGGGTCCCTGTACGGCCTCCCATTGCTGCTGTCTCCATCGCCACACTCTGCCATGTGCCACTTTCAGGTCTCCTCACACTGCTGGTGGGTTCCATTTTTTGTCATAGGGTGCTGGCAGATTACGGGCCCCCATTGCTGCTGCCAGGCCCGTAATCTGCCATGGGCCCCCTGTACCGCCTCCTCATGCTGCTGCCAGGTCCAGAGTCTCTCATGGGTCCCTGTAATCGTACGGCCTCCCATTGCTGCTGTCTCCATCGCCACACTCTGCCATGTGCCACTTTCAGGTCTCCTCACACTGCTGGTGTGTTACATTTTTTGTCATAGGGTGCTGGCAGATTACGGGCCTCCCATTGCTGCTGCCAGGCCCGTAATCTGCCATGGGCCCCAGTACCGCCTCCTCATCATGCTGCTGCCAGGTCCAGAGTGTCTCATGGGTCCCTGTACGGCCTCCCATTGCTGCTGTCTCCATCGCCACACTCTGCCATGTGCCACTTTCAGGTCTCCTCACACTGCTGGTGTGTTCCATTTTTTGTCATAGGGTGCTGGCAGATTACGGGCCTCCCATTGCTGCTGCCAGGCCCGTAATCTGCCATGGGCCCCCTGTACCGCCTCCTCATGCTGCTGCCAGGTCCAGAGTCTCTCATGGGTCCCTGTACGGCCTCCCATTGCTGCTGTCTCCATCGCCACACTCTGCCATGTGCCACTTTCAGGTCTCCTCACACTGCTAGTGTGTTACATTTTTTGTCATAGGGTGCTGGCAGATTACGGGCCTCCCATTGCTGCTGCCAGGCCCGTAATCTGCCATGGGCCCCAGTACCGCCTCCTCATGCTGCTGCCAGGTCCAGAGTCTCTCATGGGTCCCTGTACGGCCTCCCATTGCTGCTGTCTCCATCGCCACACTCTGCCATGTGCCACTTTCAGGTCTCCTCACACTACTGGTGGGTTCCATTTTGTCATAGGGTGCTGGCAGATTACGGGCCTCCCATTGCTGCTGCCAGGCCCGTAATCTGCCATGGGCCCCCTGTACCGCCTCCTCATGCTGCTGCCAGGTCCAGAGTGTGTCATGGGTCCCTGTACGGCCTCCCATTGCTGCTGTCTCCATCGCCACACTCTGCCATGTGCCACTTTCAGGTCTCCTCACACTGCTGGTGTGTTCCATTTTGTCATAGGGTGCTGGCAGATTACGGGCCTCCCATTGCTGCTGCCAGGCCCGTAATCTGCCATGGGCCCCTGTACCGCCTCCTAATGCTGCTGCCAGGTCCAGAGTGTGTCATGGGTCCCTGTACGGCCTCCCATTGCTGCTGTCTCCATCGCCACACTCTGCCATGTGCCACTTTCAGGTCTCCTCACACTGCTGGTGGGTTCCATTTTTGTCATAGGTGCTGTATGGCCTCCCATTGCTGCTGCACTGTGGCTCCACACTCTGGTTTTGGCCCCGTGACTGCCCAAATGAGTGAAGTGTGCGGTGATTCTAAGATCGACGGCACTCATCTGCATGTCATACTGACTGACAGTATTATTTCTCTTCCCAGCAGACTCCAAAGGCATTTAAATTAAATGTACAGTGTTCTGCACTAATATAAAGGCTCTCTGAAGCCTAGAAACACCCTTTTATAAGTTAAAATCGCAGCGAATATATTCGCATCGAATCGAATTTATTCCTCGAATTCGCCGAATCAGCCTAATCGAATTTTTGAATACTTCGCTCATCTCTAGTGGTGATACTGATCGGTGACAGTATGTAAAAAAAAATTAAATAATTTGTATTACATTTTTTTTTTCTTTTACATCCTGTCATCAGAGTAGTTCAGTGTCACAATATGGAGGGAAGGGGGGGGATAAGGTTATTTATTTATTTACACTTTGACTGCTACAGTGATGATCACTGTAGCAGCAATGCTTTGAACTGTCATAAATGAGTTTCATTCATAACAGCTGTGATTGCTGTTGTGATCTCTGATTGGCCCACACCTATCACATGGTACAGGTGCTGTGATTGTCCCATTCACCATGTTATAGATTCACAGCATTACAATACTAAGCACAACTGTTATGAATGAACCCCATTCATAACAGTTTTGTTGACACTAAGATCATGTGATCACAAGGTGATCACGTGACATCCTGACCGCTCATTGTGGTTACTCAACCAGGGTGATTTTTAACATGGGTTCCATGAGAGTGGAAACTTATTTCCGCTGTGTTGAAAAGGTTGAGAAGGGCTTGTGTAGATGTTTCTTTAACCACTTCAAGTCCGGACACTTTTACCCCCTTCCTGTCCAGGCCAATTTTCAGCTTTCAGTGCTATCACACTTTGAATGACAATTACGCGGTCATGCATATTTTTTGAGAAAGATAAAACTTTATTTTGGTGGTATTTATTCACCACTGGGATTTTTTTTTTGCTATATAACTGAAAAAGTCCAAATATTTTGAAAAAAAGTGTTTTTCTTATAAAAAATTTGCAAATAAATAATCTTTCTTCATAAATCTTGGCCACAATTTATTCAGTTATCTTTTAGTAAAAAAAAACCCAAATTAGTTTATAACCAAAAATGATAATTTTTCAAAATTTGTTTTACATTTTTATTTTTTTATATTATTATTTATTTATGTATTACATACCATCACCCTAGCAGTACAGTGTCATCATAGTGACACTGTACTATGTTTGGGGGGCGATGAAGATTTTTTTTTTTTGTACACTGATTGCTTTTACACCCATAAAGGCTGTAAAAGCAATCATTTCTCCTTCTCTCTGGCTGCATTCTTGCAGCCATTGAGAAATACTGTGTGAGCTGTGATTGGTCACAGCTTGTCACATGGTACAAGGCTGTTGTGAATAGCCTTGTACCATGTGATCACTATGATCATTCACAGATTTCACACGTAGTAAGCAATGATGTCAGAAGGGGCATCTTGCTTACTACTCTTCATGTGATCACTGATTGGCTAATCAGTGATCACATGATCGGGACCTCACACAGAGGTCCCGTACAACGATAGGTGTTCCTAGGGAGCTCGCACAAGCAGGGAGTGGGGAGGACGTTTATAAACAGCCACCCGTCCAGGCCGTTTATATACATGGGCCGGACAGGAAGTGGTTAATTTAAATATCTGTTCCAAAGAAGAATGAGAGCAGCCTTTGCTAACCTTTCTTTTCTGAAAATGACAGTTGCCTGGATGGTATGCTGAGGCTGTTGAATCAATGCATTCTACCGCAATGTCAACTGGGATTAAGGGCAATGGCCTCTCTACTACTATTGTCTTGAAGGGTGTATTTTAGGCTTAACATTTACAGACCCAGTTATAGAAGACTGGTATGAGCTTATCCATACCACTGGTTAAAAAAGGCACATTTATAAGCACAGCACTGTGCCTTACAAATACCTTTAGGGTTTTGCTTGTCTTGGGAGTCGAACACAATATAAGCTGTATTTAAATGAATGGATAGGTAAAAAAGTTGGAAAGAGGTCCGGTCACATGGCCTGCCTCTCCTCCAGTCATGGAATGTTCTTTACATTGCTATTAAGACAACACTTTGTATCCATCTCCATTACAAAATCAGGCCTTAGTTTGCAAGGGGTAAGCTAAGATGTTTATGCCTATGCCCCTTGTCGTGAAGCTCTATCACCCTATGGCATCTTAGCCAATAATATGATAGTATTGCTGTTGATAATCTTTCTTGATACTTTATGATCACCAACCGGTTGGTTTTCAGGTTGATTGTTGTTTTAATGTCTATGTACCCACTGTATATAGCCCGGGAGGCACTACTGCCCTTCATTTTACCGTTCAATACCTCAAACTAGGCCGCTTGCTGGCTGAAGGCCTTTATACTGTTCGCTATTTTTTGTATTTTATGTAAAATTCCAATAAACATTATTGAAAAAGAAAACAAAAACCCAAAGCTTTGGTGTCACTTAAAGGGTGTAGGTTAGGGTTAACTATCAGAACTTGGAGTTGGTGTTAGGAAAAATTTAAGTGTTGGAGTTCAGGTTGAAGGTTGGGGTGATGTTAACGGATAGGCCTATGGTTTGACTTAGTGGGGTTCGACGAAGGTTTATTTTAGACATAACTTTGGGCAGATAATCAAGAGTTATGCTTGGGATAAGGTTTCAGGTTTGGCGCTGCCATGGATTCAAGGCGAATCCCTTGGGTTTGAGATTAGTGGTCACACAGAATGTTTTCCCAAACGATACATATATCACACTCTAATATTTTTCAATTCAACTGTTTATTTTAGTCACATCACTTGCCTCAGCTCCTCCCTCTGACTCGTTTCACCCTTTACTGGGCTTAGTCATAAAGAGGCGTCTTTGGACAATAACATCAACCAGGATTCCCAGAAGGCAATACACATTAATGCAGTCCCCAATCTGACTTTTACTATTGGGAATACAGTGTGTATACACTTGTTAGCAATGGGTCATTGTGATAAATGCTGGATTTACTTTTCTGGATTCACATAATGTCACTTCAGGGCAGTGGAACGCAGGTGGAATGCAAACCAGCGTTCTACAGTTTTCTACGCAGATTTGTACATGCTGAAAAGTTTTTACTTTTGTAAGTGCATTTTTAAAGTGTTTTTTTAAATAAATGGGAATTACTACACCATGAGAGGTTCATTTTTCCCTCTATGAGGGAATTTTATGCAGAGTCTCTAAAAAGAAAGCATTACCGATGGGGTTATGAAACCATCTTTTTCTTCAAGTGTATGGTGTATTGACTGGAGTATATAGTCCAATTGGAATATCCTATGTGCATCTGACCTTCTTTGTGAAAAGAGGTAATTTTAGTGGTGAGTGCAGCATGATTTCATTTGGGAGAAGGAAAAGCACTTATGCTTTGGGTGTTTTTGATTGCTCTGCAAGGCACGGCTGCGTAAATTTTTGTTCAGTCTATACATATGGGCTGATTGACGTGCTTTAGTTTTAGTTTTATTTATTACATATATTTTTAATTTCCTTTATGCATAGAAAGCGCAGTCTCCTCTTTTCTATTCAATTTACTTTGCTGGATGCCATGATTGATATGGATTTCATTGCTGGACTCTATGATTGATGTGGAATTACCTCTTGGGACATAATATTTATTTTAAAAGCAGGTAAGTATGCATTTGTGTTTTGTTTTAATTGATGGATTGTTTTAATTTAGTGCATGTGTTTATATATCATTACACTCTGTGGTAATGGATAAGCGGTACAAAAATATCCCTTTACTCATTCCCCTAGTAGAGGGTGGATACCTGGTACTATCTGATTATAAAGGGGCTTCAAGAGTCCATAATTCCCCATATATTACCCCCACCTTCTTTTTGGAGGTGGGTAATATGCCCTTGTCCCTCAGTGTTGGGATAAAGAAAGGGTACATTGCAAGTGGGGGTGGCAAAGCCGCCCCCCTCCTCAGCCCTTGCCAGGTACTCAACCAATGTTGAAAGGCATGTGGCCTGGTATGGTACAGGAAGGTGGGTTCATGCTTACTGCTCTCCCTTTCCTGACCACCCAGGCTCTATGATGATGGATCTGGTTG